CATAAACCAAACATTTGCTCAAACAACACTTTCTACACATCTAAAACCTACAAACAACAAATTATTGAATTCTAGGTACTTAACCAAACATTTTCAAACCACAAGCCTATAAACATACCAATTGTTTATGGGCATTTTTATAACGCGGATGCAGGTAGGCATCGTCTCGTATATATCGATCTAGCCATATAATGTCGAAACCACAAGCCTACTGCAGCTCTATCTATATCGGTGGGAGGTAGATACTTTATACTTCCTGTGATCAAACGGTCCAACGCCAAGCATACGAGAGGACCACAATCCCCTCTGGGTCCTTTCGTTTGTTGTGGTGCGGTCTCGTCTCTGCTAACTGTAATATTGAGCTTATTTGGCTTCTTGTTTCTAGAACGAGTCCAATAATTTATCGCATCCAAGAATTTAGCCAAATAAGAGCTCCATCCCTTAATAATATCTCTTAAATCAGCCAATGATATGTAATTTATCATGCTGTCATATACTATTGCCTTAAGGGATGGGATCTGAAGCTCGACGAGAAGCCAATGGTTACGTTCCAAACAGGGATAAACACCTGCAATCATAAGTAATAATTCATTCATTTGTGCACTTATTTATGAATACCTTTAAACTCATCTAAAATAAACACTAACCTTATCGACCTCCCACCATGCAGGATAAAGTTTAGCTTGTCCATTGCCCAACGCAAATGATTCATCTCGTTGATTCTTCAAGTGAATGGCGTTAAAAGACGTCGGCATAATTGTATATCGTGTATTTCTTTTATTTTCCTTAAGTTTCCTAATTATTAGAAGACGTGACACCCACGCATCGATATGCTATTTTACAAAAAAAGACATATATTAGTAACTTACATAATTTACAAAAAAATAATCAAATGAAATATAAGAAAAATATAGACTTACCCCTCCATCGAAATAGCCATTGTCTTCGACCCCTAATAATACGCCCCACCAAGACCGATCAAGCAACAAATAGATATCATCATTGAGCTTGCATATGTCAGTGAAACACCTCTGGCTTCGCTCATGTAGATAAAAATCAACTGCGGTCTTAGCCCAAAGGGTGTTATCCAGAATTGTGTCCGGTAGTTGTTTCCTCTCCTCTTCAGATACCGGTATGGTACTGGCCGGTAACTCATACGAGAGCCAACTTGAATCCATCATGTCCGGCACGTCAGAGGGTTTCTCAAGAATCTTACATATGACGCCATGTGAATCGGGCTCTTGAATGGTGGGAGGGACCTCTTCAACGATGACAGTGGCCTCTTGAATGGTGGGAGGGGACTCTCGAGGAATGATAGGGGCCTCTTCAACGATAGGAGTAGACTCTTGAGGGATGACAGGCGAGTCGGGCTTCTTCTTGCGGTGTCTTCACACTATTGGGGTATACGGAGACTTAAAAGCACGTGCACGCCGTCTGATGCGTGAACTCTGTCGTGCAAGAAAAACCCGACGTAAAGCATCCACCTTATCGGTCCGCTAAATAATTAAATACAAAATATCAGTAAATAAACAGACATGCTATTTAAACAGTGAAAACAAAGATAAATATATTTCAAACTTTCAACCAAAAGACAAAACAAAGACAAATACTAACTTCACAGTGTTAAAGTAAAAAGTTTAGTAGTTTTGGCAGCAACCGAATAAATTTACTAAGCAATCTAAGTGAAATGGTTAATTTAAGTGAAATTACGAGTAAATTTATCATCAAGTTAAATATGGAAAATCTTAAACTTACCTCGTTGCGTAGAGTATGAACCTCATTCTGCAACGATACTACCATCTCACGTAGAGCGACAACCTCACCACGTAAAGTAGACACCTCCACACGCCATGCACCATCGTTATCAAGTAAAGTACCGATCTCCTCACGCAAGGCATTGACCTCATCACGTAACTCCCTTGACTCATCCCGTGGAGGTGGAGAATAGGGAGATAGAAGTCGTGGCATCTTTGTCGGTCGCCTATCATGAGGTGATGGTGGAGAAGAGGCTCGATGATGTGACGGGATAGGTGATGCTCGTTTGTAGAGGTGTATAGTCGGGTCGATCAGGTGATGGCTCTAGGTGAGGTGATGGCTCTCGAAGTGGAGGAAGTGAAGGCTGCTCATCATTCGTGCCATCAAGAAAACGCTGACTAGCTTGCCACCAATCAGTTGGCAAGCTCAGCCTCCGTGGGTGTCAGTCTCATTAATGGAATGTTGGCCTCCTAAAAATAAAACTCAAACAAAGTTAAACGTCTACTATTATAACTTGTTTATATATGATAGTATTTGTGTTAACTTACATTATTTATTGTCGCATATGGTATTAAGTCTCCCAATCCAACAGACGTTTCCTCTTCCAGGAATAGCCCTGGGAATATCATTTGAAGTTTTTATTGCATATGTCTTCATGGCGGGAAAGGCCTCGAATATCCAAATCTACAAACAATATAACAACAAACATTAGTAATTGTTAAATAATTAATTATAATTTTGAAAACATTATAGAAATTCTTACCTTAAAGGCCCAAACAAAGCCTGACAAAGTGTATTTCGACCCATCGCCCCGTAAACTTTTGCGGTCATCAAAGGCAGACGACAACTTAGTCCAGGTAGCTTTCCATATATACGAACCCCACGGAAACAGATTCCATGCATTTAGGTCCTCTACCAATAATATTAGCTCCTGAGGAATAGGTTGTCTGGCCTCTCTGCCTAAAAAGTCGGCATACAAAAGTAGTAGAAGGCATACTCGGACAACATCGACGTCATTCATCCGAGTAAAACCATCTTTCTTATTAAACAATTTCTTCATGTCGTCGACGTGTAAGTTCGGCTTCTCTATTGACTCATCAAGAAAAACCCTGGATAACCATGATGGGCGGGTGATATGACGAGTGTACCGGCCTACATCATCGTGTCCGAATCGTAGACCAGTGATTAAGCATAACTCCTTCCGCCCAAAACAAGTATACGCCGGTGGAAAATGAAACCATATCTCTTCCTCACCACGTTGTATACTGTCTGGTAGATCGCTAGTCATGGTCTGAAGCCACAAATGGGTCAAACTAGCATCTCCACCCGGATGTTGTACTCTCAGCCATGGCCCGAAGCAGGTTTCTTCAAACATTTTTCTTTGTGCAGGTGAAAGCTTCGAAGCAATTGTAGTGGCTAGGCTAACTTTATTCCTTAATGTCAATGAAGCCGAAAAAAATTTCTACAAAAAAACAATAAACATACCAAGTTAGATATACCAAAAACTACACTGTCAAGATATACCAAAAACAAAACAATTAACATAAATAGTAGTTTATTCTTGAAACTAAAATTTGCAACACTGTTTTTGTCTTTGGTTGAAATGAAAATCGCAACGAGATAATGAGAATCGCAACGCGGAAATGACTATCGCAACGATAGAATCGCAACGAGAGAATCGCAACGCGAAATGACTATCGCGACCAGACAATCGCAACGCGAAATGAAAATCGCAACCGCGAAATAAAAATAGCAACGCGAAATGAAAATCGCAATGCGATTTTTGTTTCGCGTTGCGTTTTTTATTTCGCGTTGTGATTCTCTCGTTGCGATAGTTATTTCCGCGTTGTGATTTTCATTCTCGAAACTATTCTTCTTCTGCATTACTTCAACCAAAAGACAAAACAAAGACAAATACTAACTTCACAGGCTAAACAGTTTAGCAGTATTGGCAGCAATCGAATGAATTTAATAAGAAATCTAAGTGAAATGGTTAATCTATTATTGAAATTACCAGTAAACTTATCATCAATCTCAATATGAAAAACCTAAAATAATGCAAAAATTTCAAAATAAAAATAAAAAAACTAACCCTCGGAGGTTGATTTTCCATTTCTGAATGATTGTGAGGGATTTTTGACTGTGAATGGTTGTGAGGGATTTCGCCGGCGATGGGGACGGAAATCTTCGGAGATGGGGACGGATTTCGCCGTAGAGAGTGAGAGATGGAGATGGGACTGAGTGTTGTGATTTTGGGTTTGAGGTTATGAGTTGCGATTACTGTGGACGGTTCAGTTTCCGATTTATTAAGAAAAAATTCGTGTTTGGAATTTGAAAAAATAAATACGCGTTAATACGAATGGCGCTATGTAAATCGCGTTGCGAAAGTCAGAATCGCGTTGCGAAAGTCAGTATCTCGTTGCGATTTTGTATTATCGCATTGCGATAGTCAGTATCGCATTGCGATTTTCCCAATTCGCGTTGCGATTTACTTATTCGCATTGCGAATTGGGAAAATCGCAACGACACTGTATACCATCGCAACGCGATTTCCAACTATCGCAACGCGAAATGCAACGTGAATTTGCGATAATGGAGATCGCGTTGCGAATTAGCGATCGCATTGCGATTTTGTTGGTCATTTTGGCAAATCCGGAAAAAGTTGGTTAAAATCGTATATTATATGGGATTTTTAGTCACTGAGGTTATTTTCTCTTACAAAGATTATAATAGTATCCGTTACGTTTACTATCGTTAGAAATTATGTTTACTATCGTTATAAATGTGACACAACCAAAAATATAATCGTAACTGTAATTTAAATTTCTCGTCCGAATTCGAGATTTATAAAATAATTGATTTACTGTTACCTCAAGTGGTCAATTATTCAATAAATCTTGGGTTCGGACGAGGAGCAGAAGCTTCATAGTACGAAGAAAGAGTTTTTCAGGAAGAAATTGAACAAGTGGTTTGCTTATCATTTCAAGAAAAGAGAGAAAAAAACAAGAGGCGTGTGAAAACCAGAAATCCTGAAGCCATCATAGTTAACTTTAATGGAGTAAAATCCTGATTAACTCTGTAAACCTTGACAATAATATGCTGTCTCGAGACTTCACTACATGTATCAAATATATATACATATATCTTATACCAGTAATCCAATGCGACCTGTAATGATTTCTATACATTAAGTTACATTAACAAAAGCAAACCATAAACCATTGGTGATAGGATAGCTGCAAAACCAGTTTATCATCCATTTTAACCTTAAAACTTGCTTTGTATATGCAATTATGTATATGTATAACCTGAATTAGATTATGCTTATATTAGCATCTCTAAGAAGCTGATTTAGGTTTCATGGAGGAATCGTTCGAATTCCTGAGAGGTGTAAACACATCAGAAAGAACCATGTGAAGGGTAGAAACTCTCTTTGAGCTGAGCATTCTCTTGGAGGATCTCATGGTTGTTCTCCAACAGATTGATCACCTTTTGCGATAGCTGACGGTTAACTGTTTGAAGTTGATTAACCTGAGACTGAAGCTCTTCGATTTGCTGCTTCTTTCTCATCCTCGACCTCCTTGCGGATTCCCTGTTCGATATAATTCTTTTCAGCCTCTTCTCGTCGAAGACGATACTCTGCTGACACACTCTGGCCTCGTCTTTGTTGCTAGGGGACGATGCATTGGGTGAGAATAGATGGAATTGAGTGTTGGGTGAGAATTGAGAACATGATGAGTTTCCATCCCATGACTCCATGTTGAAGTGAGTTGTAGCTGATGTTGTTAATGTTTCCTGTGAAGGACAGAAAGCGAAGAAGCTTTGAATCATGCTTCCATGGGGTTGATGTTCGCGATGAACATCGAAACCGGGAACTTCCATACGGATCGAATATCTGAGGTGACCGAGAGGAAGAGATTGAAGATGGTATCAAAGTTTTATAGTCGAGGATGCAGCAATCCAGCGGGGGGTTTCTTGTTGTGCAAGCAACTTCTTTCACTGTCTTGTAATTCATTAATGATGCTTATAGGGGTTGGTTGGCATATTAGAATTATAATTTATTCAATTTCTAAAATCATTTTATACACTCATACTCGATTATACGTATATGTTTATTATACTATTTATGGAAGTTGAAACATTGAAGCTACCAGAGAATATTTATTTCTGAAAATAACTTTCGGCTATAATGTTTTGCAGAATATGAAAATGACAATGAAATATATATTTTTGGGGGGTTAGTCCCTTTGTATTTTCTTATTTTCCACTCAGCCTTTTACTTAAATCTGCATCTGCATCTATATCTCCATATTCATAACCATTATCTGTTTATACCTTTTTGACAAATCTATGCGTAAGAGATTAGAGACGTGATTTTTTCTATCCAAATTTGGAAAAGCAAATGCCATTTAGGGTCTGTTTGTTTCCCGTAATTGGAATTACGGAATTGGTTTTCCCCGAATTCCCGTGTTTGTTTCACGTAATTCGTTTTTCGGAAAATATTTTCTCGTGTTTGTTTCACGTAATTCGTTTTCCGGAAAACGTTTTCCCGTGTTTGTTTCACGTAATTCGTTTTCCGGAATGTAATTCATTTTCCTAGTAACAGAATTTCCTTTGTGTTTTCTGTAAAATGACTTACGGATTCATTTTCCGTAAGTCATTTTCCGAACTTTTCACTTCAAAGCAAAAATACTCAAAATAATTTTATTTTATGAATTTAATATTAATAAAATATTTTAATATCATTTTCATCAAAATAATAATTATTAAAATATTTAAAATATATTTATTAATATTATAATATAATATTATATTTTTAATATTATATAAAATAATCAATTATATTATAATAATATAATATATTATATTTTATTTTAATAATATATAATTTTTTATATATATTTAATAATGAATATATTATTATATATTTCAATAATATTTTAGTAAAGATATTAAAATATACTAATTAATATTTTAAAATATAATATAGTATTACTTTAATAAATATTAATATAATTTATAAAATTTTATTTCACTAAAATATACCGAAAAAATGTTTAAATAACATCTTTCAAACATCATAAAACGTTTTCAGATGTTTTCCAGAAATGTAATTCATTTTCCAAAAATATAATTCATTTTACAGAAATGTAATTCATTTTCCAGAATTCAAATTCCAGTAATTCATTTTCCAGTAATTCAAATTCCAGTAATTCAATTATACACTGAGTATAAATGTTTAAATATAAATATTTTTGAAACAAAAGAACTAAAAATTCAAGTAACTTGGGTTGGGAGTCTGGAAAGTCAATACGATAAAGGGGAATTTCAATTATAGTTTTTGTTTACTTGTTCTAGCAAAGTAGCTAAAAAATAAGATTTGGTGGGACATATGGAACTATGTATTTTTATCAAGAAAACATTTCAGGATTCTTTTAATCTTTGGGTAAACTTGCCCTACTTGAGTCACTACTCATCACGGCTGCCTAAATTTTAGACCTGGTAAATTTCGTCCGTATTCGATTATTCGAATTGAGATTCGATATAGATGCAAATAGGATGACTCGAAATTGATTCGAAACCTGAAATAACTCGACTCGAATCAAAATTGACCCAAATTTTAGTTGGGAAAAAAACAACCCGAATCGAAAAAAACTTGAATCGGAAGCCACCCGAATTTAGTTTACCCATATCCGAAACGAACCAAACTTCGACTTGATTTTAACCCCATAATTGAGTCTAAGTAAATGAATAATTTGTTTAGTTATTATTATTATTATTAGGAAAAAAGGCACCCGAGATCCCTGAACTTTCCAAAAAAACCCAATGTGACCCTCATCATGATTTTTGGATCAATGGCCCTCCAACTTTAAAAAAGAATCCAATGTGACTCTTGATCAACATTTTATTTCATTGACCAACACTCTTTAATTCTTACTGTAATAAATTGGATCAATTACACCATTAATCACTCAACTATTTTCTTCTCTTCTATTTTGGTCCCTACACTCTAAAAAATTTCAAAAACTCTAGAGACTTCAGGGACTAAGACTGTAGTCAACCTATTTTATTTTAAGGGTAAAATACACAAATTGTCATTTTTATTTCAGGGATAAATTATTAATCATGAGTTCTTTTGTAAACCAAAAATAGTTTAGAGATAAAATATCAATTTACCCCTAAAGCAATTTCCCCATTCAATCCACGACGATTGACTCGAGCTTTGTCGCCGTCGGTGATGAAATCCAGTTGAAACCAACGACATTAAAACCCGACGATTCAACACAATAGAGAGCAATCATTCTCACCACAAAAATGCATCAGGAAGATCGTCAAGTTGGGGTTCCCAAGTCTCTGAAATTCTCTTAGGAATACGCATAGGATCTCCAACATTCTCCTCCGTCAAACGCCCTGCCTCGTGATCCATAATCATAACCTAGTTTTCCTTTGCTACAATTTTCATCGTCGGTTGAGCTCCGATAACGCTATAACGACCCTGATACAATCAAAATCCAATAAAGAACAAAATCATAAAACTAAATGTAACCCTGCAGATAATCAAAACAAAAACAAGCATATGTAAATGCTCTTGCAACACTAGAAGCCTGAGAACCAGGCTCGACTGACTCAAACAGAAAACAAACATATTTAAATGCTCTTACAACCCATTTTCTTGACGATTTCTTGGGGAAATGTTTTGCTCGGGTTTTAATGTCGCTGGTTTCAACTGGATTTCATCACCGGGACAGAGCTCGAGTCAGTAGTCGTGTATTGGAGGGGGAAATTACTGAAGGGGTAAGTTGATATTTTATACATGAATTATTTTGAGTTTACAGAAAGTCTCATCATTCATAATTTATCCCTAAAACAAAAGTGACCATTTATGTATTTTACCCTTAATAATTTATCTCTAGAATTTTCAAAATTGAAAATTTTAGAGTTTAGTGACCAAAATAAAAGAGAAAAAAATAGTTGAGTGATGAATGGTATAATTTACTCAATTTATAACCGTATGAATTAACAGAACCGTTGGTCAATGACAAAAAATGTTGGTCAAATGACCACATTATGTTCTTTTTTCGAGCTGGAGGGCCACATTGATACAAAAAATAAGATGAGGGTCACATTAATCTTTTTTGTGTGTGGAAAGTTCAAAGACCTCGGATGCATTTTTACCTTATTATTATCATCTATTTTTTAACATCGATATATAGTAAAATGATGTATGATTTATTCTCATTTTATAGTATACTATTAGTTAAACACCACTTTTTGTAATAGTTTAATGATTCAATACAATCTTTCCTCAATTAAAAGATCATCTCTATATCTCATGCAATAATTTCCAACTCTGAAGTTGGATTGTGACAATATATATTCACATAAAATTCTTGATTTTAAAGATTTTTTTAATTCGATTGATTTAAACTAAAACTTTTAGCTATGAATTTGAGATGTGACAATATATATTCACATAAAATTCTTGAATTATAAGTAATAAAGAGTAACACCGAAAGGTATGACAACAAATAGCAACAACGAGTGACTTGAAAATATAAAGGTTGACAAAAAAATCTAAAAGTTGACCTGAATTAACCTGAAAATCTTATGGCTGACCTGAACTGAAACCAATAGATCTAATATTGACTTGACTCGAAGTCAGGTGATTCGATATTAACCCGAAATGGCTTGACCCAAACTTGATCTAAATGACCCGATTACCACCTCTACTAAATTTAGTGATAACGCTAAAAAAAACCCCTCTAAATTTACAATATCTCTATACTTGAAACCATAGTGGTGAATTAAATTCAAATCCCGTAAATATGAACACAATATTTGAAATTTCAAATATGAATATTGTATATACATTAAATCTATTGTGTTATTCACATTTAAAGTGTTTTTATATTGTGGTATTTATGCACGTTGATTTTAACCAAATTTTGACATTTTGAGGTAACTTGTTAATGGTAACTTGTTACCGGATGAAGTTCATTTACCATAACAGGAAAGTGCATTCAAGTGAATGCTATAGACGATTGCACCATTGGAGAAGATAAGCATTCAAGTAAATGCTATAGACGATTGCACCATTGGAGAAGATAATGGTTCAAGACTTTCTATCACTCTTTTTTGAATTACTGTGAGGCAACTACTTTTGCTATTTTCTTCCTTCTTTTCCTTTCCTAAAATGAACCCTAAAATAACTCTCGCGATGTCGGTGTAATATATAATATTCGATTCTTTTATTTAATATACATGTCTAACAGCTATATATATAAAGTTAAAATGACGTTCACATTAATCACATATTATATCTAAAGCCCATCGTAAATTCGAATAAAACGATATAAAAATTTGTGTTAACTACGTAGTTCATTGTTTATGTTTTGTCAACTTTTACTTACTCATTTAAAAAAATATTATATATTATCATTTTTGTTTTTATTTAATTAAGATACGATCACTTTTGGTTTTTATTTTAATTTATTTTAATTTTAATATATTATCATTTTTGTTTTTATTTAATTAAGATACGATCACTTTTGGTTTTTATTTTAATTTATTTTAATTTATTTTAATTTGATTAGGTGACGTGGTATTTTGATAAAATCACACATTTGGTCCCCTATTATTTATATATTCTCTCAATTTGGTCATACTTTTAATAAATTAAAATAAATTTAATCCTTCAATCGAATGATACCACGTGTCATTGATTCCATGTATCACTGGTGCCACGTGTCACTAGTGCCATGTGTCACTAGTGTTACGTATCACCATTCTATTGGAGGACTAACTTTATTTTAATTTGATATATTTATTTTTCATCAATACTTTGAAAAGTTAAATCTCAAATCGAATGGTGACACGTGGTACGATACGTGATATCAGTGATACA